ATATATTGCCTATCTAAATATTTTTGGTATTTTTGGTATTTTTGGCATTTGAAGGAAACAAATAGGACACCTATAAAATTTTAAATGTTAAATGGAAAATTATTAACAAGGCTAGAACATGTAAAACTTGGAATGACCCATGCCCTTTATGCCTCCATGAGAAATTGAAGATAATTAAGCTTCTAAATAATAATAATCTATTAAACAATAGACATGAGTTAACGGTTTTTTGTAGGCATCATCAGATTTTTGGTTTGAACTATTAGCTAAAAACTAGCATACAATATAACACCCTTCATAATCCATAGTCGAAATAAATAGTTTAAATACCCTAAAAAAAGATAACCCTTTATGAAGTCGTCAAAAAACAAACGTTACGGCAGTTTTTTTTGTTTTTTTTTTCATATGCACAAATCCCTTTCATAAAAAAAAAAAATAAAAAAAATAAATAAATCTCCATAGACATGCAAACTAGACGAGGGTTAATACATCTTCCGTTTTCAAATTTAGACACCCCCACCTTTCCCTGACTTGACATCTACGAAAGTAACTCTATACTGATACTTATTATTAACACCCAACACCCGCCTACCCAACGTAAACAATTCGCTCTAGCTGTTACCATGGAAATTTTGATTTCAATTTTTAAAACACGTAAATTTCAGAAACACGTTATTCCCAAAAAAAATTTCGCCTGAAGATGGAACAGAGCTTATTTTAACTCAATTTAATTTAAATAATTATATTGAAGTTTTCGGCTCTTGTTTTGAAACATGGGACTTCTTATGTCGCGATTTGGAATCATATTTTTAAATAAATAATTATATACTTTTGTATCGAGCACTATTTTTTTAAAATAATAACTAAAATACTAAGGGACTTTGGATTATTTACCTAACCAGTTCCTTCCTATTTTCTATATATTTACACCCACACACACACACACACACACACACACACACACACATATATATATATATATATATATATATATATATATATATATATATATACCTCCTGCTTTCAAGTCAACGTTCCTGCTTTCCCTCCCGTGGCCAATGTACTCATGATGACGGTCGGGTGATATGCTGTGTTTATAGTTGGGATGAGAATGATCTAGAATAGAAAATCATAATTATTATCAAGTGTTCCAAGAAATGAGACTTAAGATTAACCTTTCCAAAAAAGAATCTATGATCTAGAATTGGAATGAAAGCTGTGATGGAACTTACCCTGTATCCGTCATAAAATTGCAGGATATGGAATGAGTAAATGTATTTGTTGTGACCAAATGATTGGTTAAGAAATAAGGAATCAAGACCTCGCAGATAAATAGTGTATTGAACAGAAAGTTCAACAGATGAGTGTTAGACGACTTGGGAGTGTGTGTCAGTTGACCAGCGTTCAGTCTATATCAACGTTAATATTTAACAGCCCTCTTCCGAGGGATATGTGTGGCACAAGGCCGAGTTTAAACTGGGTCATCGGAGCCCGTAGGCTCGCCCCCCCCCACAAATAAAAACTAATAGCAATAAAAAAAAAACAAAGCAGCAAACGAAAAACCCGCATAAAAAGGTTCGGGTTTGTCCAGCTGCCTGGACGGAACTCTTCCCTTCGGCACAGCCTCGTCTGGGCTCCTCTCTGTCAAAAGCAGAGATTTCGACAGGAGTTGCAAACAGCCTCAGTAGAACAGTCTATATCATCTTTCCGCCGAGGCTTACTATTTTTACTAGCTTTATAGTAAGTGGAAGAGTCCTCAATAGAGTCATTAGAGGGAAGGCACTATGTTGTGGATTCCGGGATATCATCCGGTCTCAAAATGAATGACAAACGCAGGAATGAAATATAGCAAATAAATGTATTGACGTAATAATACAATTGGTAATACGGTTAGTAGATCGAAAAATGCGGTTAGTAGCAATAATAATATAGAGAGAGTCTAGGAAATTCAGTATCGAAGTATGACTTCCTTCTGAGTCTACGTGCTCGCAACTGTGACTCCTACAAAGCGGTTACCTCATACTGTATCACTCACTGTCTGACTGTATCAGTGTATCTCTGTTACTCACTCTATCGTCCGGGTATTCACCGGCAGCAGTACAAGTACCCACTGGTCGATTCTACTTGTATGAAAAAGGGGTGGTTCCCATAATACACTACAACAGCTATACACTTCAGATACCTTGGAATATGGATCAGCTAAGAAAATATAAACATAGGGGAAAAATGAATTCAACATAGAAAGACTGATTCAAAGGGTTAGTTTCAGTCTACAATACAGATTGCTACAAATAATCAAACTGAAATATTGATTCATGTTCTTCAATAGCCTCGTCAGATCGAAACTTTCTTCTAGACGTCGCGAAACCTATTCAAAAATATCTGTATACAACAACATTCTAAGAGATCGTA